TGTCTTGGCTCTAACCTTTGTAGAGGCAGACTGTCAGGCTGCTGGGTGGGTTTAAACCATCACCGTCTCAATGAGAGGTCAAGCGCTGCATAGACATCCCTACATCTAGAATAAAATTGATTAAACCAGTACTTGCCAAATGACCTCTATTTTTGCAATTCAAAATTGACAGCAAACCTACGTAAATGCACAGATCAAAATTTAGAAACTGCTAGTAGGTCATCTGAATGAGGCTGACTCAACCAATGGTGAATTGGAGTAAGGTTGTTTCTGTTGGTTGATTTCGTAGTACTCATTGACCATTGTGTACCACATAAATTCTCTTTTCAGGGCATTCTGTCAGCCTTGTATGCAACTGCCCACCATGTATGTGACTGCCATATGGGTATTCCATTAAACTGAGTAAATATTAAAAGAGATGTTAATAAATTGAAGTGCATACATTAGAAAGTCATGGAATAGTCAAGTGGATGGTCCCAGAAATTGAGTTTATAGAAGTGGAGAATTGGCAAGTTAATTTAATGTTTTTTGTTTGTTTGTTTTGTTTTGTTTTCATACACGGGAAGTTTTTCCTGAGACTTCCTTTGGTCTGAGTACCAAGGATCATACCAAAAACCTAAGACTAAATTTCGAGTCAAGGAATTTCATTATTAAAGGAAACAAATTTGAATCGTCTGACAATTGTGATTCAGCAATAATTGCACATGAGTTATTATTTCTTGAATATAGTGAAACAGTGAATGATATTTTTGTTGTTGTTTTTAATCCTAAGAAGGACATGACTGTTGTTGTTGATGCTGTTGTTGGGTACTGTTGAGTTGATTCTGATCCTTTGTGATCCTTTAGGACAAAGCAGAACTGTTCTAAAGGGCTTTTTCCCGGCTGTCATCTTGATCCGGTCAGATGGCCAAGTCAGAGAAGCCAGTGAGTTCAAATCCCAGCATTGACCTTAGTAGCCCAGTGCCACCAGGACATTAGGGATTATCTAATTCTACAATTTTCCAGATACTTAAACTGGAACTTTAAGGGGAAAACAGAACATGTAATAAATGATTTCGTAATCAAAATTTAGAGCAGAAAGATCATTATTTTCCCTGCCAGTAGTGAGTCACATGATTATAAATCCCTGTGTATCTGCAGCACATGACGCATTAATTTACTCACTGGAGAGTTGAGAGGGTCTGTGTTTAGCACTCAAGTATTGGACGTGATTCAAATGTGAGTCAAGTGTGTCTGGAGCTTTATTCCCACAGAGCTGCTTTCTTTTGGGCAGCAGTGCTTCACCGTGCCATGGTGTCATGGATTCATTTTAATGCAGCTAAACTTGAGCAGCTCAAAATGGTATAATTAACTTAATGTAGCTTCCATTAAAGTAAGGAGCCCTAGTGGTGCTGGGGTGAAAGCATTTTGCTGCTAGCCAAAAGGTTGGTGGTTTGAATCTACCTGGTGCTCTGTAGGAGAAAATTGTAGCAGTCACTTCTACACAGTTTACTAGTCTTGGAAATCTTATGGATCTATTCTGTATGTCCTTTAGGGTTGCTGTGGGTCAAAATCGATGTGAGGACAATGGGTTTGGTTACAGAGACACAGGGAGTAGTGTGGTCAGTTCAAGTGCTTAATTGAATCAAGCCTACCAGCATGACATGTGTAGTCCGCTACATACCAGCAGCAGTAAGCATTCAGAACTCTGCTGAGTCACTAGTACATGTGCCCGGATGAGCTCGCATTCAAGTTTCTTCCATTGAGAACCTCAGAAAGGTCATGAATGGGCTCCCCGACAGGTTTCTGGAGTTGCTTAAGAAAGAAGAGATTTTAATGGAAACTAACACATTTTGTGAAGATTATATTTGCTCCATGATAATACTGAGTAAATGTTACATACAGCTAGCACATATTGATTTAGCATGCTTCTAATTTATGTTTTACTGCTCTCTAGTTCTGTGATATAAAAATAGAGTTGAAGACCCTGTTTGTTTTCAGAGACCTTGACTGTCCATCTATTTTCATGTGTTGAAATCTGTCGTGTGGCAACACTTCAGTTGTTTTGAAATCCCCATGGTACATGAGGCGTTTTTGCACGTGCAGACTTCTTTTTCCTTCCACTGGAAATGGTAATCCAGTTAACTTCCAACTTCTGTTTGATGCACTTTCCTTCCACGGAGCTTCTTTGTTTCTCGGACTCTCCTGCTTGGGGGCTCTTCCTTGATGCTCGTTTTTAAGGTATTTAAAAAAGGTATTCACTTTTTTTTGGAAGCTTATTACTCGGGAAGCTTACCAAGATGGCTGCTTCTAACTATGACTTTTCCTGCCCCTCCCCCCCCCCAGACTTGCAAATTCAAATGTCTGACACTGAACTTATCAGATAGCAATCAAACATGGTTAACCCCTGCACCAAAGGCTCTTTTAAGAGAACTTGGTCGTCTTCAATTCCATCTTCTCTGTTCTGGTCATTTGGATAAGCCTCTAGTTCATTTATCCCCTTGTGCATTGGTTAAAGCCTTTACTCCTTTGTCATGGACCACAGCATGTCTCTCTTACTTTTCCTTGCTCTATTCTCCCTGGTAGATTGCTCCCTACTTAAATGACTCTCAAAGAGGGAACTGCAGTAGAATCACTGGAACCAACCACTACCTCACACCTTCTCTTCCATTCCCAGCCATTTGACATCAAACTTCTTAGGGTAGGTTCCAGAAATCTGCCTAGTATGTGTCCCTGCTGGTATGATTCCTGAGGTGCCCTTTCTACCCTGGATTAGTTATGCTGTTGTTGAATTAGGCCCAGATCTCCCACATTGCCAATCAAATAGCCACCTTGTTCCAGATCTGACTTTTTCAGTCTTATCTCCTAATGCTGCCACCCTTGAAGTGGTTCATAGTCCCAGGTGTTGAAACTCTTTGCTCAAGTGTATGCATAGGGGTTTATGCATACTCTCCTTCTAAACGGAATGGCCTTCCTCCCATCTCTGTTTGATAAGTGTTCTGAATTAGCTCTCAAGTCTGACTAGTGTCAAGGCACCAACGATTCTGGCTACAGTAGTAAAGAGGGCACTGCTAATTAAAGGCATGTGGGGGCAAAAGAAGTATCCAAAATAGACCAAATATTTGTGATAACCAAGGCTCTGGGTGATTTCCTAGTTGATACTTTCTACAATTTTCTCAAATGAGAAGTATGTGGGTAAGTCAAAAAGTATTGCCACACACCTTCGCCACCATTCTTAAATAAATATATCAAAAGGTGAAGCTATTACTTTCAATCCATTCTCCAGGTAGTTCTGCACATTTCTGCAAGTGGTGTTTCTGTCTCTAACCCTTCCCCTAAGAGTGCTGTACCCTGTCATTTACACCATATGAACGCAGTGCTGATAGCAACATTGAGGGACTCAAAACAGCTTCTTTTTATGTTATTTGAGTTTCCAGTAGAAAGGGAAAGTGAAAGGGGGCAAAATCGGGGCAGTGGAATGAATGGGGTTCAATTTTCCTGTTTTCCAATGAAATTCTCCAGGGCAGCCTTTGGTACCCATGAAAAATAAGTAGAGGCATTGCTGTGTTGGGAGGAAAAAACCCTCACTTCAATTTTCTCGACCCTTTTCTCACCTAAGGCAATTACCCATTTTCTTAAAACTTCCTCATCATAAGCCCCTAAGACTTGCCCAGGGAGCCCTGGTTACGTAATGGTTACACATTTGGCTGCTGACGGGCAAGGTCAGCAGTTCAAAACCACCGGCCACTCTTTGGAAAAACAGGACACTTTCTACTTCTGTAAACAGAGTCTTGGAAAATCCAAGGGGCAGGTCTACCCTGCCCTATAGGGTCACTATGGGTCAGCATCACTTGAGGACAAGGTTGGTTGGTTTTTGTTTTTTTTGGGGTGGTGGTGGTGTGATTTCCTGTGTCCTTTGGGAAAGTCTATCAAGATTACCCTTTTGAAGTTCCCCCAAGTAGTCACCAGAACCTTTTAAGCTGACCTCCCTACCTTGAATTTGTTTATCTAGCCCAGCTAGATCCCCTTGAAATCCACTATTTTATTTGAATGCGTCTGTTCTTCTTGGAAGGCACCCCAACAAGATAAGAGTATCACAGAGTGAACGTGTCTTCAGCCACCACTATTATCAGAGATGTGTTGAATCATGTTTTGTTCAGAAAATAGCCATGTGTATGAACTTGAACCTGGTAGCAATACTTTTTTACTCACTGTCGTAGAAAGAAGCCAGGTCTGGTGAATGTACGCTGGCCCGCATTCACTGGAGAAAGCAGAGAAAGAATGGGATGAGCTCCAGCCACCTGCCCCAAGCAGGAACCAGAACAAAGAGAACATTCTAAGTCGAGTGAAGGACAGTCTAATTTGAATTGCCAGAATAGAGATCCAGAGTTCCTTAATCAGTTCCCAGGCTTGCGCCAAATTACAGAAACCAGCCGAAGACCCATAGTTTGCATTTTGTTTGACGTAGTATGTGCCCTCTGAGCCTTGACATTTCCCCTCTTAAGGCTGGACATTTCCTTAATATACTGGTTTTCCTGAGGACTCACAACCCTCCCTCTCTGAGCATGACTAACACAATCCTTGACCCTTGGCTAAGTTTTTACAGAGAGAACGCTGACTTCCTTCCTTCCACACTCCTTGTTCAGCTGCAGTCTGACCTTCATCTCCCATGCTGACTGGAGTTTCTACTTCTCGTCCGCTTTCCCTGCCTCCACCACCGTCTCTTTTTGTTTATGGCGTCAATCACTTTCATCCCCGATGAAACTACACAGCTTTCTCCCATGACACATACCATGATTTTAACACTTTTAACAGCTTATCGTTACTATCAATATGTGTGTGTTTTTAATGCCTGGGACCTAGTAGGTGCTCAATAAGTCAATATTAGTCGATAAAGTATGTCGCAGTCTAACATGACTGCCTTACATGCATTTCGGAGAAACAATCTGAAAAACCAAGTGAGAACGTTATGCGCATTTCAGGACAATAAACATATACCTTGTTTTGTTTGTTTTATTCAGAAAGATGTGATAAAGAAAATACGGAGAAAGAGATAAGTCCAGCTACCAATAGTTGCTTCACAAATGGAGAGATGCAGGACCAGTCCATTTGGGGACATCGTTCTGATAGTGAACTCGTCAGAAGTAAGTATTTTTAGAGAATATTTGAATGATCTGAGCATATGACAACAAAACATGCTGTCACTTGGTTGTCACCTATAATTCTTTTACCTTAGAAACTATCAGTTGGCTTATGTGAACTAATTTTTTGTATCAGTTCACATACAGAGCCCAAACTAGGAGATAAATCTGCTATTCGTCACTGTATCCTTTCTTTAGAAAGGACAAAGTGACCTGTGAATTTCTAAGTTGCTATCTCCCCAGAACTAATGAATTTTTTTCCAGTTCCTTGTATGAGATATCATTTCATTCATTATATTCTCCATAAACTTTTTTCAAAATTAGCAAATAGAAGATCAGCTTGATGTATATGTACAATCACCTTGTTTTAGTAAGCTATACTCATTTTCTTCTTCTAAGATCCGAAGTACATTTTTTTTAACTGTTACTAGTTTGCAGCGTATGGAGAGGAAAGTGTCAACATGTCCACTTATTTCAATGGCTCTTTTTATGAAATTGAACAACTAGATGGTGGACATCATTTCCACCTGAATCATTCAGTGACACTGATGACATTCTTTGCATATGCAACCCCTTTTTCCCTCCTTTTCTGAGTTGGTCCTCTCCAGAAAATATAACTTCACTGCCTCCTCCCATGCCTCAGGGACCCTGACAGTACAGCGAGGCAAACACTGGGCTTCGCACTGCGGTTGGTGGTGCACGCCCCTTAAGCCCCTCTGTGGGAGAAAGATGAGGCTTTCTGTTCCTATAAAGATCTATAGTCTTACCGGCCCAGTGGAACAGTTCTCCTCTGCCCTATATATAGGTCAGTGTGGATTAAGGTTCTACTTGGTGCTATGAGCCTGGCCCAATCCCGACAGTAACTCTCCTATGGCATCTCTCCAGTTACTGTGGTCAGTTTGATCTTGAAAAGATGATTCTTCAAAGCCAACAATTTTACTGGCTTTTCCCCCCCTTGTTTAGCTAAGCTATAATTTGACTTTCAGAAGCCTTCAGGGACTATTTTTGGTTTAAGGCCTAAAGATTATTTCAAGGCAATGATAGTTTTAGGGATTCATCCAGCCTTCACGGCTCCAGGAACTGTAGAGTCTATGAGAATTTGAAATTCTGCCCTCCATTCCCACCCCCACCCCACCCCCCTGATCAAATTCCATGAGGTCTTTGGTTGTACCTAACTAGCTTCCGCATCTCTCTTTCACTTTTTTACATCATTGCCTCACTGATAACTGATACCAATTCTTGGTTTGATAAGGAGCTAATGCCCTGAAGCAAATCACATCCTTGGGAAATTCTTGCTCTGAAAAACAGAAGAAAGTCAGTTGACCTCAACAGTTATAATCTCTGATTTATATGCTAGATTAAGCGCTCTATCTTCTCATAAACTAAAACCCAAAACCAAACACACTGTCTCTCAGTCCATTTTGACCTAGAACTTAAAGGGCAGAACACACTGCCTCTGTAGGTGTCTGAGACTGTAACTCTCTATGGGAATGGAAAACTCTTTTCTCCTGAGGGGCAGCTGTGGCTTTGAACTGCTGCCTTTGTGGTTACAAGCCCCAGGCGTAACCACTATGCCACTCAGGCTCCTCATGGGAACAAATAATTAGCACACAGGCACCAATTTGCAAATTTCACTTTGTGTTACTAGACTAGCATTCAAGACTCGAGATTCCTCTATCGCCAGGAGTTGCTCGTTGTGATTAAAATAAGTTCATGGGAGGAAGTTGGGAGTTGAACAGGAAGTTTTGAATCTTTGCAGTTCAGTTTCTGTATTTCTCCGACAGGCAGGTAGCATGTTGCCCAGAACCCTTCAGACAGACTTGCTTTATAGCGTTGCTCCGTCTCATGGACACTCTGCTCTCACACCTGACGGCAGTTTCCCGGGCCTCATTCTGCACCGTAACTGGAGAAAGAGGCGCAGAATTGCCTTGTGGGGAATGAGTGCTTTTTTAAGAAGAATAAACAAAGCGAATCACTTCGTAGTTTAGACCTTTATTTTTACACGCGTGTTCTCTCACAGTACGCACTTAGGCACACCTTCTAATGACTTTGCAACTTGCTGTCTAGTCTCAGTCCCTAACTGAAAAACAAATGGAACAAAACATCAGAAAAAGTAAACTTAACCGAGAACAAACAATAACAACCACACTGTAGAAGAGAAATGCTAGTTTTGAAACACAAGTTCTAAGAAACGAGTGTGTTTTAGTTTAGTTTCAGCCCGACGATTTTGTTTGTTTTGTCCCTTTTGTTTTGTGGAAAGAAACGGGGAGGAAGGAAATGAGACTCGTCAGCTGAAGAGCATTGGGGAGGAGAATTATGCACGCAAGCAGCTTTTCCAAAGAAACGAGTATCAGTTAAAGGGTTATACTGAAACTCTATGTTGGTGATTGTCTAGCTAAATACTGGCTTATTATTGTGAAACTTAACTCGGTACGGGCCTGTTTCACCTATGCAGTCTTAACCACCAGAGAGCTAGTGGGAGCTGGAGAAGGTCTGAGAGACAGTGTGGTTTTATTTGGGAGGAGGATGCTTTTTTCTATCTGCTGTTTCACAAAACTGGGAGCCTTTCTTATTCCCTGTGTGTTTCACTTAATTGCTTTATCTGTCTAATCTCCCTTCTCAAGGTCCACACTAGGAAAATGTGAACAAGAATTCTTAGAACAAAAAGTGAAATAACGCAGTTGTATAGCACATAGATAGTCATGTTAATGTGTTAAGCCATTTGTATGACTTGCTGAAACTCCTGTTAGACATTGGATCTGTACTAGTCAAGACAATGGATTTCAAATCAACTGTTCTCTTTATTGTCTCTACTTGGTAAATGGAAAGTGTCAACATTTATTAATTATGTGAAATAGTTTTTTTTATTAAGGGAATGATGCCACTTGGTTCAAGAGACACTGACATATTTGCAAACAGTTGTCCAGCTTTTTACTTATGTGCACTGCAGGGACGCAGCGAGGGATTTATGACATGCTCTGAGAAGGCTGTTGGAACCCTGACAGATGAGTGGTGTTAAGAAAGATGATGGCAAAGAGAATATTGGCACTCCGGCCAGAAACATAAGCTGGCATGGATTCCCAGATATTTTGTGGTGGCTTCTGATTCCAGATCTGATTTCAAATTTCATAATTCTCTGCTGGTTATTTTCCTGGCCACACTTAAAAAAAATTTTTTTTAAAGACAATGGCTACTTTGTTGGGTTTTCAGAAAAATGTGCTATCTGGATTTTCAGCAATGGAACATTTTCTATCATTGCGAAGTCTAACGCAGTGGCAAATGACATTTGAAAGTTTGTTACCGTAATAGTTTTGCAATTCTAGCTCCGATTCCATACTCGCATAACTTCCCCGCATTCCTTCCTTGGCCTTCCCCATGGCATTGTTGGCCCATGGCTGCACAATTTAATGTCTGTCTACCTCAGTAGCACCGCTAGGGAGAGAGGGGTTTCCTCTTGCTTCAGTCTCTAGCACTTTTGGGGGGCCCAGCATATCTTTTGTGAGAACCTCAGGGCCTGGGAAGAAAGCTCTGGCTCAGAGCTGCCTGGGAAAGAGGACTTCTGAGGGAGTCAGGCCGCGCTCGCTGGCTCCGGTGCCTGGACTCCTGTGTGTGACCCCAGAGCGCCCTGGACGAGGCGGACAGCTGGCTGTCACGGAACTGATTTTCGTGTTTCCAGTTGTAGTGGACTGAAAGATCATCAGAAAGATGAAACTGGCCGAGTCGAGGTGTGGGAACCTTTTCAAATCCACAACCCACTCTTTTTCCAAGCTTCCATGGCGCAGCTCAGCTGCCTTCAGCAACAAGGGGAGGAGCATGACTCTGGGGAACAAGACTTCCTGCTCTCTGCCTCTGCCTGAGAGTGGTTAGTGCGGGCTGGCAGCGACTGTCACCGTTTGCCCACGTGTCCACCGCCTGCTTTGTTGGCTTTTGAGGCATACTTTTTAGGGGCCGTTAGCTGTCAGTGCGGTGAGGCTGATTTTACTTTCCTTTTCTGAGCATAACTGAGCTCTGGAAAGTCAAGGGAGTGGTTGCACTGGACATTGTATTCTAATTAAAGGGTGTATTCCTGGGCCTCATAAACAAGATCCAAGCTGAGCATTTTCCGAATTACTCTCTGAACTTTAAACTTGACCCCAGAGGCCCACCCACTCACCGGTGGCTTTCGCTCGCCCTCACTCTGGTCAGAAACGTGCTCTTTGTCTGCCTTTCCTGGTCCTTCTAGAAAACGTGTCAGGTGGCAGATGGAGGGTTCTGATACCAGGCTGCCTAGTGCCCCTCAGACTTGAATTTCACATTAGTTGCCCTTGTGCTACTAACTTCGTAGAGAGGGTTTTTAAAAAAAAATTTTTCCTGGAAATTATAAATAAAAGAAGAAATCCACATGGAAGCCCTACATTTTGAATGAATAGCCCACACACAGTCTGATCCGGGAATGTGCATTGTGCACACACAAAAAATCTCTCTCTTTTTAAATTAGTTTGTTTATTTTTAACAGTTTTACTGATGTACAATTCACACACATTTCGATAGATCAGTCACATTCATAGGAGTTAGGTAACCATCATCACAATCAATTCCAGGGCGTTTCTTCTTCCTTACACTTGTTTTTACCGCCCTTTTTCCAGCCAGGCATCCCTGCTGTGTCCCTTTGAATCTATTGATCCAATTTATTGTCTCTATAAATTTATCTACTCTGGGTTTCATATACAGAAAAACATACAAAATCAAGATAAAATACAAACACATGGTCCAACAACAATGCGAGAATGAAACAGAAACCTCAATCGAAAACAAAGCAGAAAGTGCTGAAAACCAGGAGTGATCATGTCTTGGATCCAGAGGGGGACCAATCACAGGGTGTCACATTTTGACCTCACTGTAACCGCAGTATCCACCCTACCATGGTTCTGTTTGATGACAGGGCCTTTCTCATCTAAAGGCCCACCATCAGTGGATTCACTAAGAGGCTTTATCTGCAGGGGGGACCCTGTGAACAGCCTTCT